ATATATTATATTATAACTATATATAATATAATATAATATAGTTATAATTTTTAACTATATTTTAATTGAAATATTATTATTTATTATATAATCTTATAATATATTTCATAATATTATAATTATATTAACCATTTTATTATTATATTTTATATCATAATCATGTAAATATTATATAATAATAATTATATTATATTATATTACCAATTATATTGATATATAAAATATTAGTGTTATATATAATATAAGGGTAATTTTGTTAACATAAAAATATTCTTGTTCCATTTTATAGTATTGTTAAAATTACAACCAAACAAATGAATCAATTTTCTTTTTCATTCCATTCCATTACCATTCTTCTTCTCATTCTCATTCCTATTATCATTCCCTCACTGCAACTAAATGCACCTTAAAGGTCTAAATTGTTAAGTTTTTCTGGTTGTGGACCAAAATTGTCACGACCCCAAGGATAGGACCGTGATTATTGAGATATAATTAAAACAAATTAACTTAATTAAACTGAATTAATTAAGGAAAATCCATGAAAATAAAATAAAATATACAAATACCAAAATAGATATTAAAATATATTGCTCCAGGTCTTTCTTTTATAAACAATATTTAAAACTGCCCATAAAATCTAAGGAAAATAGTACAACTCTAGGATAATGTCGACCAATACAGTTTATATATAGAAATACAATATATATCATAATTAAAAACTGTAAATTCGAAACAAACTAACCACTTCGAATCTTGCACCTTCAATCCATTGACATCCATTCGCCATGCTGTAAATCTAAACCGCTAACTCTGGAGGGGGGTTTAAAACATTGACAGAAGAAAAATGCGCGGAAGGCCCAGTAGGATATAATTCTATAAAAATTTAATAATTAAAGTACTCACGGTCCGAAGACATACACCCGGAATCAATCGTCCTTTAAAGAAAGAAAATACTTACGTAATTGTAGCAAAATATCCGGATAATGAAAATATGCAAAGCCATAATATCACCACTGACCAAGAAGTGTCTCGTACGAGTTTCGAGACCTACCCCCAAGGATACGATTCCCATATCCCGATATCTGTGGCCATCATACGTTTTATCATTTCTTAAAATATCTCATTTTAAGAAAGAAAACTCTTTAAAATCTCATTTCTAAAATATTAGAAACTCAATAGCATTATTCATGCTATTTCCTTTAAAATCATTTATTTCTTTAAACATGTTTTGTGTTTAAAACATTTCATAGGCAAAAATCATTTAAATCATGGATATCAAGTATATAGACAAGAATATCCTACCTCTCGAATATCAAACCTGAGCTAGCCTTTCATTATCCTAGCCTCCGCTTTCCTCAAAACTTTTAATCTGATCCTTCAACTAACATTATCACAAAATAAAGTTTTAGGACACAATCCTCATTCCTAAAACAAATCAAGTTCAATTATGTTTAATTGTTTCCTATTAGTGTGACTTGACTCAAATCTAAGTTTCACAAACGACTTTATAATTCAATTTGGGGGTTCTTTAAAAATTGAAATCCAATTCATGGGTTTAATTTTCCTTTCAATTTCAGCTTAAAAATAAGTTTTTAAAGAAATTTCGGCAGCATGCCGACATAAATAGGGAAAATACCAAACCTGCAATTCAAGTTCAATTTCAAAATAAATTCTCCAGAAATCATCAAAACCAGTTTCCAATCAATTCAACAAGTCCAATAACTAAAAATTCCCAAATTTAATTCAATTCTAACAACAACTGTTCAAATTCAAACCCTAACCCAAAATTATTCAAATCAACCAAAATTATAAATTCTCAAATCAATAACTCAAATTTAAGTATGGGTTTTCAAGAAATCTTTATCTTAAAGTGATTGAAGCTTGTTTCCCTCTATTTCTCTCGTTTTTATTTTGTTTTTTTTCTCTTCCCTGTTTCGGCAGGGACTTCAAGAGAGAGAGAGAGAGAAGAAAAATAAAGAAAGAAAGAAGAGAGAGAGAGGGAGTTCTGGGTAGCCACGGGAAAGAAGGGAAGGGAAAAAGAAAAGAACGAAAAGAAAAGGAAAAGAAAGAAAAAAGGAAAAAGAAAAGAAATAGAGAAAAGTAAAAAAAAATACGTTAAAATTAAGTATATTTTAAAAAAAAAAATTTAAGGTGAAATCATAAATATTAAAAATAATTTAAAGTTTATTAATTAATTAGAAAAATTAAATTAGACACACTAACTCACAATTTAACATAATTAAATATGTTTAATTTTAAAGAGCATTACAAAAATACTAAAACCCAACAAATTTAGGGCACAATTGCTAAAATTCCAAAATTTAAAAGCATGAACATAGTGGCTTTTGTGGACCCCACCTGCCCTTTTGGTCCATTGTGGTTTCCAAACAGAACCTAGCTAGGTTGAAACTTATAACTTCTGGAGCTTTATTATAATATTGGAACATGATTGCAATAAATAAAACTAGTTATGTATGCTACCTTATTTTCTTTTTGCTAG